TAAATTGAACTAAATCCACCTTCAGTTAACTTTGTTACTTTTTCAAATTGCTCAAAAGGTATCCATTCTAAAATATATTTTGGCAAAGGTGATTTCATTTGACATTGTTGAATAAAATGATCAACTATGTCATTGCCAGATGTCCAAGTGGTGAAAAGAGTCCGTAACTGTAAACTAATGCAACCTTCACAGAACCTATCAGAGTATCTTGTTGATTTACACTTGTTACATTTTTTTGGTTTTCCCTTTTTATCTTTTGCATTTTTTAATTCATGCTCATAAATAAACTGTTCTTTACAATATTTTTTTTCATTTTCAGAAAGCTCTTTATTTTTTTCAACTAATGAAAAAAAATAATCTTTCTCACTTTCTTTATTAGAATTAATCTGAGCATTATGAAACATTTCATTACAAATTTTAAATACAAATCCGCATCTTTCTTGTGGTAATAATTTACAATGCGACATTATATAAAATAAATGTAATTTTTTTTTAAATTTTTAACTTTTATATTGAATAGTGATTTTTTTTGAATAACCATTTATTACATTATGGCGTGTAACAAACCAAAAAAGGTTCATCAGAACCTTATAGAAAAGTATACCAAAAAAGAAAAAGATCAAAGGGCGTTCACATTTCACAGACAACTATTATCTTTTTTAATCTTAAAGAAATTCATGCTCTTTTTTTACATAATCATCAAGGAGGGGCGGAGACAAGCAACTATTGTTGTTGTTGTTGTTATTGTTGGTGTTATTATTTATAACAATTACAACGATTGCATTCCGTTGTTGTTCACAACCTCTTTACTCCTTTAAGAGATCTTCAGCTGGGAATAATCAAAGCCAGGATGTGTAACTTATCTAGCAAAGCGGCTTGGCTAATCGCAACGTACGTTTGACCTTCCGCAAACATGTTTTCATCAACATTTAACGTTATGTGCGATAAGGGTTTTGTGAACTGTCAAAGCAAACGCCTCCGCACTTTTGCCATCAACTTCAAAATGGCAAGTTTCCTTTTACACAATTATTTTGCTTATACTTCTTGACAGATCACTTTGACACTTTTGTCATCGGTCGTCTTTGTCACAAAACCAAGGTTAACATTGCATATGCTCTTGTTAAGCAATTTATTGTTTAAGAACATCACACGAGAACCTTCTTGCAAGTACTCCCTCTTAAATTAGGTGTATATCAAGATCCCAAAATTTAACGCATCTACACTCTTCGAAGACGGTGTCTTTGTAAATTTAACTTCCTGTAAGTTGCAGTTCCATTGATAGATCTGCCTGTGAAACTGAAAATCATTTTTTTCAATTTTTGGTAATAGTGAAAAAATGAGATTAGGTAAAATGATTGAGAAAAAGAAGACGGCGATGATGATGGTGTGGTATTTTTGATAGTAATAAAATAATAAAAATAGTAATATATGTATTTTGAAACAAATAAAGATATCTTAAATAATAATTAATTATTTTAAGGAGTTAAAGGGTTAGTTGAGAAGACAAGATTTTCCCTTTTTATATATAAACATATGCGTATTATTATTTGTATAGTATACTCGAGTTTTATAATATTTTGTTTGCAATTTAAATGGGTGATTTTATGAGCTTCGAAATTTTCAATTGATAATTAAATCTAATTGTCAAGTTTAAATACATCTAAATGGCATAATAAAAAACGCGTCCCATGCTCTCATTATATACATATAAACCTTTGTTAAATTTGAATATCACGTGATACAAACACTTGAGATTGATTTTAGACCTTCACAAATTTGCTTTTTTCATAAAAATTTTTTTTAAAAGTACAGGATTATCTGTTGTTAAACGCTCGGCAAGACAGAAATAAGTAAAAGACTCGGGATACCATTGAGGACTGTATATAAATATCATAGTAAAATACAATAAAGGAGAAGCCGTTGAAAGTGATGAGAGAGGTGGGCGACCCAAGGTGCTTTCAGATAGAGATAAATATCCTTAGTGAAATTCGTGCGAAAAATAGGAAAAGTATAGCATAGGGTTATGAAAATGGGATGATAACTAATTATTAATCACATTATGCTGAAATTGATGACTCAAAGATTTCACGTCAAGACTTAGAGTAAGGAGGCTTTACCACCAGTTTTTGATGAAAAGCAAAACACTAAACTATTTAATATTACCCATTTTTACTTCTACTCGCAAAACCAAAAAATCATCAAACCTTTTATTTTCTCGTCTAGATTGAATTAATGCTCAACTAAAAAATACTTTTGGAGAAATATTGCTATTGGTTTTTGGTGCTTTACTCTTGCTTAATTTTAATTCTTTTAATTTTCCAAAAAAAAAAAAGGATTTGGAAGGAAATGTAAATATGCATTCAGAATTTGAATTTTGTAGTGATTAACAGGTAATAGTAATCAACCATATAGATATGGTCAGTCTCGTACATTGGTTAATGTGGATTTCAGAATCTATCTAGGCCGCTAAATTTTTTAACTAGAGCCATAAAAATAGTATTAAACAAAAGCTTGAAACTTAATTTTTTTTTTATTTTATTTTTTTGGTTTCCAAAAAAAAACTAAAGGGAATTAAATAAAGCAGACTTTTTTAAGGAATTTAAAATGAATCGTAAAATACAAGCCACAATTGCATAAATTGATGTATTAATATTTTTTTACACGTCATAAAAACGTTTTTTTTTATAATCATATCAAATGATAATACACGTCCATTAACAGTTGAACAAGAATAACTCGAGGAATAATAAGCGGGCTTTGGTGATTGCAGTGCACTCTCTCTATAACGGTTCTTCCGTTTTGGCAAAAAGAGACCGTTATATTAGGGATTTGCAAATCATAATCATGTGATCAATTCATAATATATATAGTTAGTTGACTGACCGTCCCAATGTTTCACACAGTATTGATCCCTGAAATCTCTTGTTCGAACTACCTCACGTGTAACTTCCACATGGATAATAAACAGGAAGAATTTATTGAAGAGATTGATTTTTCAACATTATTTAAAAAAGACCGGCAAGTAATGACTGAATAAATAATTAATTAATCAATAAAAAATGATAATGATAATAATGATAAAGATGATGATAATAGAAAACATAATAAGGAAGATAATGATTACGGAATTCCAAAAAAAGGATCAAAAGATTTTAAACCTAATGGATCATCAAGGCAAGAACAACTTACAAAAGAATCATTAAATGCCTTGAATAAAGTTTTGAGTGAGGAGAGAAGTGGATCAAGGTTGTCTATTATACTTGCATATAATAATTAATGCATATCTGATTGCAATTAAATTTATTTGTCTCTTTTCACATATATTGTTAAAGTCGGCAATTTTGTATTGCAACATGGTACTCAGCTCCAACAAATAAAGCACTAGTAACAACTATTAAAGGAAATCATTTTCATAATATGGGCCACTCCATCTCAGGGCAACAATGGTTACTTCCTGAAGAAACATTATTTTTGTTGGAAAGAGGATCATTAGTTGTTTATTACAACAATACACCTATTTCATTGCAACAGGCTTATAATTTAATGATTTGTGATTGGTTAAGTTTTGAAAAGTATCAGGTGAAGAAAGATCAGAACAAAAATATTGCAAAAGATTTATTTATGTTTATAAAATTAAATTTTATTTATGTTTGCTTTCATAGGTATATGCATATTTGAAAAGAATTGGATATACTGTCTTGAGGACAACATCATTATCATTATTGGCATCAAAGAAAAAATCAAAGACAAATAATGATCAAAATAAAAGAATAGTGGAAGAGGAAGGGGCAGGTGGAGGAATTTTATTGAATACAAATAAACAAATGATCAACAATGCAAATTTTACTCAAAGATTTAGTAGATTATTCATACAAGGAGCAGATCTATCATTTGGAAATACATTAAAGAGATTATTTGGCTTCTTTGATGATAAAAATAAGATGGGGCCAATAGTAAAATCTAAATCATGTAGCAGTTATGGTAATGATGATTGTATTAAAATATAATTATATATGTGTAAAATGAATATTTCATTTACCTCTTTATTTTTTAAACCAGATGAAGTTTTAAAAAATTTGCAAATAATTGAAAGATCCAAAGATTTTGTTTTAAATATCAAAGAGGAAGAAGAAGAATATGACATTGATTTTTTTGTATATAAACAATCATTTAAAAAAAAAAGTCCTGGAAAACCATTTTTTAATCTAATTGTTTCTTGGTAAGGAGACAATGAAAAAATATAAAATAGATAAATAAATTAATTGCTGATTTTTTTATATTATAATATTTTTTATGAAAATAGTACTGATTCAGAAAAACCTCCAAATTTAAAAAACCTTGAAAAACTTTTCAACAAAAATGAAAATTCAAATATTGTATTTGCATTAGTTGAAGGTGGAAATATTTCATTTGTAGAAGTTAGTGATTTTAACTTTAAAAAGTTAAAAGTTGAAATTGTTAGAGAGAGAAAGAAGGTAGAAAGTAATAAATAAATAAATAAAAAAAGTAAGTTAAATAATGAAATGTTGATATTAATGTATACGAAATTTTCTGAAGATGTTGTTCTTTGTTTCTGCTGTTGTTGAAGGTGGAGAAGAAAATGATGATAAAATCACATTATATCCAAAAATAAATTATTAAATAAAATCAATTTTTTGCATGGTAGCGTAATATCCATCATCACCTTTTGGTAATTGCATAGATGACAATTCAATTGATTGGATCAAATGACTTCCAAACTCATATTCTAATAATAAATAAATGATATAATATGATATAACATGATATGATACAATTATTAAATAATAAATTCCTACTTTTGAAATTTCTATATACTTCATCTGGAATGGTTTTAATTTTCTGTTTTTTGCCATCATTTGACTCCAATGTAAAAAAAGCATTTCTGAGCTTCATTAAAGTCGCATGTGGTTGGTAATTGTCTTTATCAAAATCATCATCATCACCAACTAATTTGTTTTGTTTGAAGTTTTTGTGAAGTGCATCTGCTATTTGAGTGATTAATGATAATTGATCATCCTTTTTTGGTGATGCATAAACCACACGTCCTTTATTAAAGATTTCAATTCCTTTGAAACTTATTGTAGGTCCTCCATTTGGACTAATTTCTTTTAAAATCTTGTTATTTTTTTAAGATCATACATACATAATAATATGTAAGTATCATGTATTATAAACAAAATTAAAAAAATATATATAAAAAATAAATTATTGTACATTTTGACTATTAGATAAGCATTCTTTGGCGCTTTTCAATCTTTCTTCATTTTCAATATGAAAAACAAACAAAGTAATATGTATCTAGTTTGATTTTTAAAAAGAAAATATTAATTATTTTTGATTTACCTTATCGGATAATTTATCTTAATCAATCACCTGAACTGGATCAATAAGAAGCTTAGTGTACCCAGGAAAATTATTCTTCACATGATTTGAAAATTCCATGAAATTATCTTGTATATTTTGTGTGTTAAGTCTAATAGATAAAAAGTAATTTGGTCTTGTTCTTTGATGCGTTTTCTTGAACCAATCAATCAATTAATAAAACCAATCAATAAATCAATCAATCAATTAATTTTAATCTTGATATATATATAAATCTTCTTGTACCTTTTGTACTTTTTGCACAGTTGATAAATTATTGGAAAGTGCTCTTTTTGAATTCATTTTCTTTTCTTTAAATTAAAAATTAATCAAATATCAATTACTTGTAATGAAGTTCTTTCATTAAAGAATTTGAGGGTGTTATTTCACTAGATGTGGATTTGATAGTAGGTGAGTGGGTGAGACAATTCTTCAATAATATTGTCATCAGTGTTCGAAATTCGACTGCGTCTTGACATAAAACCAGTCTAATTTTAGAAAATTTACTCTACAGAATTGTTTGTGCTTTAATTTTACAAAATCAAAATACTTCCCTTGTATTACTAGTGGCGGGAATAAAAAATTATGATCCTTGCACAAGATTGTCTATCATATATACATAAAAAGTAAGATATACTGAATCATTCTGTTTGATTTTAAAGCAATAGTTTTCTTATATACTCAATGGAAATGCATTACATATAGCATGATAATATGGATTTTAGAAGTAAGAACCTTTGTATGTCACGAAGCATGTATCCATTATTTGCTCTTCTAAAGAAAAATTGTGAATTTGCATTGTCATTGTGAAATCTTAAATAAACGAATAAAAAGTGCGAGATATATATTTATTTGTTTGCCTTTCTCTTTTTTTTTCTATTATTACTAAAATGCATGTATAAATAAATCTCATTCCATAGATCATAAACATGTAGTATAGATATTAATAAGTTAATATTAAGCATTTGTGACTTTAAATAAATATTTGACACAGATACCTGTGCGTTTATGGTTTAAAATAAACTTTCACAATTTTAAAAGTCATTCCGCAAGTTTAACTTGTGCATTCGGTAACTTAATTATACATTCGCTAAGAATCTGAACTTTGTTTATAATACAAGTCTTTATTTTTAATACTAACTTTTTACATATAGCTAATATTATAGTTTTCGGCGATGTGATTTTATAAACACAAACAATACGCGTTTTATTTAATATTAATCACAAAAATTTTTAATGGACAATTTTCATATTCAAATTTTGTCTTACCCTTAAAAATTAAAAAAAGTTTTTGAAAATCCAACATGTGGATCACATGATATTTCAGCTTTCGAGTATATATGATCTGCACTGTATCTGCGTCTCAACTTGATAATATCTTGCTCCAATTCAACATATTGTTGATTCATCGTCATAATACAATCTTTAATCATCAACATACGATGAGGAATTCTCAAAATTAAAAGATCATCTTCATTATTAACATTCCCACAATTTGAAGAAGGAAGATGATCATTTGTCGTCATCATGATGTCACTATTGTTTTGATTATATTGTCCACAGTTTTGAATTTGTTGATGTGCAGAATTTTGTTGATAAATGTGCTGAGAGTAACATTGGGATAGTTGTTTCAGAATTTGTTGATCATGAGTTTGTTGTTGTTGGTGTTGTTGACCCATATTTTGTTGATGTTGATCGTGATTAGGAAGAACCTGGTTGAGATTTTGTAGTTGAAAGCCGGGATGTTGAACCGGTTGTATAATTGGTTGGCTATTAACTTCTTGATTTTGTTGTTGCTGATAATTGTAAGTCATGTTTATTTGTTTACTTTTTTATAATTAAGGAAGAAAAAAGTAGAAAAGTGAATTAGCATTTTTCTTTTCAATTTATAAAATTCATGAATACTATGCTCGACGACTGCGACAAGTTTGGTTGGCATCAAGTTGTTTATCTTTTATGTCATTAAACATTCATTATTGATTGTTAAGAGATTTTGACACAAACAAACACCATTTATTGATATTATTGATACTTGTGACGTTTTATGGTACAATTTTATATTAATTAATATTTGATGTGAAAGTTTTGTCAATCAAAAAGGTTGCATCATATAAATATTTTAAATTTCTATTATGAGAAAAAGTGCGTAATGCCATACGTCTATGATCTTGTTCTAAACCAGTTAAAAATTGTAGATTTGTTTGTACAAAAAAATTCCGTTTTTTAATATTACTAAAAAAAAAAAAACGTACGAGTCCAGTTTGTTTTTTATCAAGTCTAAGAAAAAATGGTTTGAATGTTCTAAGCTAATTTATAAATATCTATAATGTATAAATTGATGATTAATGAATAATTCAAAGTATTTAAAATAGATATAGATAGATTATTTATTATTATTATTAGTTAGAGCTTCAATTCCTATTACTAAAAAAATTACGGGTTAAAGAAAAATAAAAAAAATTTGATATTCCATTCATCATTATATAGATATAAATAAGCTCATTAAGAGCTTGTATCACAGAGACTCTCTTTTCAACGACAAAATTAAATCAAAAGGCCCGGGACTGAACCGTTTCAGGTTCGGTCCTACCATTTTGGGACTTAACGTCCCCATAAGTCCGTGTGTAACATAAATATTTAAAAAAAAATTTCACATGATATATATAATTTTTTCAAAATGTCATCATCAATTGAAAATAGCTTTGAAGTCAATGGTGAATTTGATCTTTACAAACCAAATTGAAGCACAACAACAATCACAACCTTTTGTTTTTATTAATGGCAATGATGAAAATATTGATGATATATTGTATTCAGAAAAATATAATTTATCTTTAGAAGTCACATCAATAAATTCAACATCAACATGTAGTTATTTTAAAAGATCATTTCAAAATCACTATAATCAATCAACTTCAAACAATGAATTTATCAAAAGATATTTAGAAATGCCAGAAGAAGTAAAATTGCCTGGATTGGTATTCTACAAGATTTAAAGATCCTAATTATACTGTTTTGTCACATATGGCTCATGATTTTTTTTCAATACAATCAACTAGTGTGTCAAGTGAGTCAGCTTTTAGCATAGCTAAACACACACTAAGTCCAGTTCATAATAGATTGGATCCTGAAAAGGCATGAACAAGTTTATGCCTTAAAAGTTGGATTGAAGCAAAGATTGTTTCAATATAAAATATGTTAAATATATTTTAAAATTTTTTGATATATTTTTTTATAATAATATACAGTGTGGGACAAAAAATTTCGCCTTTGGTAATATTACAATAACTTTACAACCAACAAAGCAAATCACTTATAAAATAGCTCATTTAAAACTATGAAATGAATCGATTTTATTATAAAAATCAAAAAGGAATTCATTCGCCATTTCTTTCAATAATCATTTCGCAACATCTCTTCATTGAGCCTATCAAATTTTTTATAACAGAATCTGGAATACTCTCCCACTCCTCAATCATAAAACACTTTAATTTGGTGAGATTTTTTGGTCGCCGCCTTTCTACATTGGTCTTAACTATGCTCCAAAGATTTTCTATGGGATTGATGTCAGGGCTGTTAGATGGCCAGTCAATAACTTCAGGCATATTTGCCTGAAGGAACTCCCGAGCTACAGCACTTGTATGCTTGGGAAGGATTTCAATGCAAAAAGGTCCCATCATTATTTCTTGAAAGCAGAAAAGGCTAGTTTTTCCTGTTGCACAAAATCCATCCCAGGCAAAAATTTTTGTACAATTTTTTGGAATAGGGCGGATTGGTCGTGCACCCTTATACCATTGTTTTATGGTATTTCAGAATAACTGAAATGCAGTTTCATCTGAAAAAAGGGGTTTTTTCCAGTTATCATTAAGGTGAGCGCGAGCCCATTCTACACATTTTCTTTTATGGACACTTGTAAGCATTGGAGTGACTGCGGGTAAATTATTTTTATAACCCAGACTGTGTAGATGTCACGAAACAGTTCTATAAGATACTTCAAGATCATTTTCAGATAACTTAGTTGCTATCTTTTGGGAAGAGAGAGATGGATCACATCTCAAGTACTGGCCAATGGCCTTAGATGATCTTGAAGTAATTTTTTTAGGGCGACCACTCCCTTCTTTACGTGCAATACTACCAGTATCCTTTATTTTTTTAATATTATAATTAATTGTCCTTAATGGGATGTTAGTTTGTTTATGAATCTCTTGAGGAGATCACATTCCATTGTTCCAAAAATGTAAAATAACTTAAGGGTGCGATTTTTTATCTTGTAATGTCATTTTGATCATGATTTAAAAGGAACAACAGTGAAATAATTCTAACTTTGAATATGTAAACAATGTGCCACATAACACAATACAAATTTGGTATATTATTTGTGTGATACTCTTTAAATTTAGTAAGTATACAGGTTTTAATTACATCAACATTGCAAAATTTTTTGTCCCACACTGTATTTTAAAAATATATAATAAATATACTGTTTGAAAAAAGGACAAGGACTTTTTCTAGGACTTTAAGTCCCAGGACTTAAGTCCAGTCCAGACTGTTCGGACTGATTAACATCTCTAATTATAATATTATTCATATAATATTATTCTTCATGAAAACTTCTTATTTTTTGAATCAGTGTTATTAATTATAATGTTATTGTTGAATTGATGACAGTTATGATTATAAT